TTTTTTTTTTTTTTTTTTTTTTTTTTTTTGTCTAACGTGCATCGCAGCATCAGTTTTTTGTGTATATGAGAAACTTTTTAGAGAACCAAACAACAGTCAAAGTTTATGTTCACCTTTAGCAGATAACTACTGGTTTTAATCTTGGAGATTTGAATTAAAGCTCTGTAAACAAATCTTATTCAGATTTTGTTGATGGTAACCTTTGCCGTTACCTCTCTTTACCTTTTAGGTAACAGATTTGGAAGTACAGACCACAGAGTGCACAAATTATAGTTCTGATTGGTAACACAAGAATAAAATTATAAACCGCAATCTCTGGGAAGGAAAACATGGCGAGGAACCAGATCCTAAGGCTTTACACAATAAGTCTTAAAAAAGACATTTTAAAAAAGGATATAGTCAAGTTCTCTGTAGGCAAGTTAATCACGAGTGTTTACCTTATTGATCCACTAAATAAGACGGGGTCCTGGAGGATGATCGAGAGTCGAGACCTGAGAGTCTGCAGAGGAAGCTTACAGATGTCAATCCCATCTATGATGATCTTTCCTGCAAATAAGCAAAACACTGTGTTCACATTCCAGGTACTTTTATAGCCACCGACACTCCTCTCATAACAGAAAAATAACAGTTAAATTATCCAGTACAGCTTTCTTCTGAACTTTCTTTCTATATCTACAGCTCATGAAGTTCATTTATAGTGGCACTTGAGGCGTGCTGTTCTCACTGCGACCTTCTCCTGAATACTACCAAAAAACACCATTCTGCATCAGCTGCAGGAATAGAGTTCAAGCTGCTTTTCCTTCTGTTTAATCTGGAAATCTCATGGATGCATTATAAGACAAATCACCAAAGCTTGGTGACATCACAACAGCAGGTGTGATGTCACTTTTCCCATGGGCCTCTCACCAAGAGGATGACATCAGCCAGTATAAACTAACTGTTAAGCATCAATTCACTTAATCAAGTACAATTTATTTTAATCTTTCTTTATATTTTTGGCAGCCAGAGTTAGCACCTCATTTTATGCCACAGTGAAATATAGATGCATTTTGCTAATCAACTAATAGTTAATAACTCATGTTTACCCATCGGCTCAAACAGTGTAGTTTCTGTCTTACAAAAATGACATAATTTAAAAAGAAGTAGACCAGCTGATGTCTCTTACTCAATATTTTATGTTAAAGATGCACTGTGGAAAAACGTTGCTGCACAACCGCAGCACGGAAAAATGATTAGGATGTTTACAGTGAATGTGCAATGTTGTTGCTTTGAAATGGCTGCCGAGGTCTGCAGCCATCAGTCAGTTACCATCTTTAAACTGACTTTGCTGCATCAAGACGGATCAGTTCCCCATCAGCGTGCAAGCAAGTCAAGTTAGCAATCTGTTTGTGATAAATCGTCAAAAATTGCAAACCTGTTGCTGTCGACGTAAACAGAAATTCAACTGAACTACAAACAACCAGAGTTGGGTCAGAACCTCATAGATTGGAAATTTCTTTGCATATGGTGACGTAGTTGTGATGAGCTGGAGATTTTAATTGCAAAATGACACAGGTGCTCAGAAACCTTGTTTTTATAAAGGAACATAACCAGAATGGAAACCAGCAGAGTCCCTGATTGCAGAGAAACAAGTCACGGAGGATTTGCACTCATCGGCACAAACTTGTATAGGTTTGCTTTAATTAAACCACCTTTAATATCTACCCTTTTCTCCTAAAGCTCTTTCATGTGGACACGATGAACAACCCTGAACAAATGTTTTTGTTCAGCTGAACACAATGTTTTATTTTCAGGGTGATGAAATCAAGAATGTTCTGTACAGCTCACTCAGAAGAGCAATCACCAGGAAGGTGCTCTGCTTTTATTTCACTGCTTTATAAGGAAATGTTTCTGACACAATGTGCTTAAATTTACAGTTAAATGAACTGTCTTCCCAGCTGTGTGTGTGAGTGCATGGAAAAAGTGACTGTGTAATCTCACCCCTGTCTGAATAATCTGTCTAGGAGCAGCCGTCATCAGCCAGAGTGAAAACAGAGTGGTACGATTACGACTTGCTTTCAAAATGCAATAACTAAAACAGACAGCTTTAGGACTTTATTTCTGCCCTCTTGAAGGAACATGTCTAGAGCCTGGAAACGAGTGCAGGAGAATGGGTCGAGCCTTTTTGTTATTTCCTTATCCTAGTTCTTTGATACAAGAGTCTACTTCAGGTTCTCTTAGAGTAAAACAAGGCAGTCAAAGAACAAAAAGGCCTTCAGATTTGCACTTAGCAGGACTCGCACGAGTGTTTAAAAAGAGCTGAATAAATATTTCCTCCAACATATACATAGTACTGCAGTAGTGGCTGATGACTGAACACCTTTTAAAGGAATAATTTACAATAAAAAGTGCTTTAGTTCTAACAAAACTCACTGCAATATCTAGCGTCATTTTGTCTCTGGGACTCAGTCACCTTAAATACTTTTATTACTGCTCACTCTGACAGATCATTTATAGCATATTGCATTTATAAAAGTAACTCTAAGCTTGTTCAAGTTGTATTTGGGTCTATAAATATCATGGACAGCTTGAATCCACATAACAATCATCTCAGATTCAGGAGGAGCAATCCAGCTTCGGTTCTAGTTGTGGAACAGCTCTTTACTGTCAGGAAACTTCTGGAGCAGTCATGAAGTTTGCCAGTCTAGTCTACATGTGTCAGGTATACTCCTGCAGTACTGTGTACCACAGTGTTGTTACGAGCCATCAGGTTATGTAACCAAAATCATGTCTCCTTCCTCTCTCCCACACAAAGTCAAGCATGCTTTTTGGTATCTGGTATTGGTGCTGGTATTCACCAGGGTTTCCCTTGGTCCCCGATCCTACCTGTGATATTCAGGACATTGTTAGTATCAGCTTGGAGCCCATTGTGCTCTCAGAACTGCCTTAATTTCTCGTGGCACAAATTCAACAAGGTACTGCATTCCTCAGAGCTGCTACAGATTTAGCAGCTGCTCATCCATAATGTGAATCTCCTGTTTCTCCACATCCCAGAGGTGGCTACTGGACTGAGATCTGGTCACTGTGAAGGCCATTAGAGTACAATTGATTTCAGTTTTGTGACCTGGGGCATTTTCCTACTGAAGCAGCAACAATACTCAGGTGGGCTGTGGTGTTTAAATGTCACTTTCATGCCGTTTACACCAAATTTTGATCCTATCATGTGAATGTCACAGCAGACAACTTTGTTCCAATCTTGTGTTGTCCAGTTTTTACACAAATTGTGTGAAGTGTAGCTTCAAAGACTGATTCTAAGATGTTGGTAATCAATATCAGACACGGAGCAATACATCTCTTTGCAGCAGGGTTCTCCACTCATCTGCTTACCAGTTGGCTGTATTCTGGATATTTTCCCATATAACAGCAAAGCTGGAGAGGCAGCAGTGATATCACTATCTGTGGAAGAAGTTCTGTTTCAGATCTATGAGGTTCTGACTGGAGAAGGAATCTAAGTAGTGAATGTGACTTTCTGTTTACATAGACAGCAACAGAAATTTTCCTCATTTCTAAAAGTTAATCGATTTATTCTGACAAAGAAACTCCATGAAAGTGCCCATTTGAAATCAGTCAGACTGACTCAGTCTGACGAGTGGTTACAGACCTGATCTTCATCTTCAAAGACAACAAGATGTAGATCAATTCTAGCGAGAAATAAAAGATACTCCACACTTCCACACTCTAAATAAAGTGTTGCATTATTTATTCTAAGTGGGACCACAGTGTACAAAATCAACATAAAAAACTGAGCAGCTGAGAGCAAAACTTCTTTTATGCAATCACTGAAGCTGTCCCTGCTGGCCATTAGGAAGACTGCAAGATTCAGAGGCAACGGCTTCTTTTCTGAGACTAAATCCATCTTTTATAAACAGTCTCACAACAGCTTTCCATCAACCAAAGAAGAAAAAGAAATAAAGAAAGAAGGGGATGTGAAATCATGAATCCACTCAAAACCTCATGAAAAAGTAATTAAATCTCACAATAGTTTAATTTTACTCTTGAAAATCTGTAAATCCTCCTGTCAGAAACATCTTTTAAAGGGCAAGGTTTTTATTTTGTAAGTGACTCAGAGGAAACTGGAAACCAAAAACGGGGAACATAACAGCGTGATTGTTTTTGCCTTTTGGGTCAAGTAGAACCTTGGGTCAAGAGCTACTCACAGAAACAACCCCGAGGGAAATCTTTCCGCAAAGTTTCCAAACAGAACAGAGATTATCTTAATGAGACATAAACATACCGAACCAGAGAAAGAAAGGGAGGCTTCAGGGACAGAAAGCAAAGCTTGAAGATGAAAGAAGTGGAAAAAAACAACGTGCTCTCTCCTTGTGAGGAGAGCTAACAGCATGACAGGAGACTCACCTTCAAAAATATCCACCATGTTGAAAAAAGCCAACGACAGAGAAGACTTCCCGCTGCCTGTGCGGCCACAGATCCCCACCTGAGGAGAGAAAAACCAATAAGCTTCACTGCGCTTGATGTTGCTGTGAGACATCAGACACCTGTGTGATAACAGGGTAGCAGCTATATGCTGTGCATGGATGGAGCTTGGTGACCAAGTGTCATTTTACAGTTTATTAGAGGCATGTGGCTGTGAGTTCAAAGAAAGCTCCAGCAACATCTCCACACTTTAAAACAAAGTTCACCTTAGGAAAGGATCAGCCAGGCTACACAGGTCTGAATTACTAAGCACTTCAAAGCACATTTAATTATATCTTTATAGGTATCCTACTGTACAGGCGGTGCGTTTTTATGTAACACAACCATTTGTATACGTAAGCACGTCTACTCTGAATAAAATACATGCCAAGCGTAGGCTGTATATAGAAGATGGATGTAGCTACTGCAATATACCCACGGATTTTTGCACTCTGGTTTTTAAAACCTGTGTTTGGGACTAGTTTGATTTTTATTTCATAGACACATGTAGCCGTAGTTCAGAGGGCAGAGTGCTAAGCACCAGTTAGCCAGTTTCATACATAAACTCTCAGGGTACAATGTACAGCAACACATGTTTACCTGTTATTCCTGAGAAACCGTAACAGGAGAATTTTACTTAGCACAGGAAAGTCTGTGGTAATTTATCTTTCAGGAGTATAATCTTCACCTCCTCTAAGCAGATGACTTTTTTAGATTTAAATTTGATTATTAAGCAGATAACATTGCTTGCTGTGCTACAGGAAAGTCCAAGAAGATTTTTTTGAGTCTGTTTAAAAAGTATTTTATTAGTCTGTTACTTAGTTTGCAACATGAACTAGATGCAGTTCACTAACCAAGCTTACTAATGTTTTAATAATAATAATAATAATGGATTGCATTTATATAGTGCTTTTCTAGGCACCCAAAGCGCTGTACAATTCCACTATTCATTCACTCTCACATTCACACACTGGTGGAGGCAAGCTACAGTTGTAGCCACAGCTGCCCTGGGGCAGACTGACACAAGCGAGGCTGCTATATCGCGCCATCGGCCCCTCTAGCTAACACCAGTAGGCGGTAGGTGAAGTGTCTTGCCCAAGGACACAACGACCAGGACAGAGAGAGCTGGGGGATCGAACTGGCAAATCTCCGGTTACAGATGAGCTTCACAATCCCCTGAGCCACAGTTGCCCCATTTTGTCTTTTTCTGACTCTAAAAAAAAATCACAACTCAAATAGGTGTAACACGGACTCTCTCCATTTTTGGAGATTTGGAGGAGGTGCTCAGAGTCTAACAACAGACTTTGAGGAAAATGAAAAGGAGTTGCTTTCCATCCAAGAATCATTCAGGTGTTTTAAACTGCTCCGGTCCTTCCAGTCATTACTGTGAGTAAATATTCTCTTCCCCCTGAACTTCCCATTGGGCCTCTTGGGAAAATTTTCTCCTGTCTGTATGACACTGCATTTTCATTGCAGTGTTAAGTGAGGCCCACGGTTCCTTGCAAACCTCTGTGACTCACTGCTCCTGCAGACATAACTTAAGAAAAGGTATGCTGCATAACATGGACATGTACGCCAGTGTCAGACTTCTGAGTGAAGAAGAACTCTGTAAAGTCCCTGTGGGCTGTCTTATATTAAGGGACAGGCACTTAAAAATTGATGAAAATAAAATTGTATATATGGTAGACTTAATGGGAGCTTTGCCTCCACACATCCAGCATTAACCGACTTTATTAACTTTAGGAAATCTAGTTCCACCACTCTACCAGATGAAAACTCCTGAATGATTGAATGATTCCATTCTTCTCACAGAATCAGTATTTACCTTCTGGCCTGGTTTGATGTATGCGTTTACGTGTTTGAGCACCGGTTTGAGCATTGGGTCGTAGCGCACACACAGGCCCTGGATCTTTATCTCACCGTCCTGGGGCCAGTTCTCAGGGACCTGAGAGGCATCTGTAGAGAGAGACAGAGAAGGTGGTTTATTCCTCTCTTTTTTTTAAAACTTTAATTCTTACTCACTCTCAGACCCTTCAGATCAGAAAACAGCTCTTGAAGTTTAAGAACACCACAACAAAAAGCAGACCTCTTACAGCTGCTACTGTCTATGTAACAGTCCTGGATGGTGTAAACAGGAGCTATAGACCATGCGGAGCATGTCATAACACCACAGATAGGAGACTTTTCAATGATCCCTTTGCCCATAGATGGGACTGGGTGTGCTCAGGATGGTATGGGTGAAAGCCAGTGGACCTTTTACTGAAATTCTGATTATATGCCACAGCATTTTACTGCTAAATATCCTGCAGCTTTTGAACGATTCAGACTCTATCCAGTACTCTCTGATAATGACTCTAATTTTTGCCTCAAGTTGTAGCTTTTTGAGGCTTCAGAACTGAGTTGGCCTCAGTCCATGCAAGCAAACTATAACAATTTCTTTAAAACTCGATTTGTGTTTCTTTGTTTCTTTGGATAAGGTTTCTGTTATTGTTAGTATGTAGTTTTCTTTTCACACAGTTGTTGGCAATTTCCTATTTTATCCATTGTTTATGGTTTATTTTCTAGATTTCAGTTCTTAGCTTCAGTTACTGTTGACTTTAGGATTGTGTGTAATTAGTTCCCCTTTGTTTCCATTCTGTTCCTTTTTCTGTCTCATCTATTTTTCTTCCTTATATCTGTCTAGTTTCTTTAGTTTCTTTAGTTGCTTCCTGTCCTTACTTTGAAAGGTTCAGTTTCCCTTGTGAGTAGTGTTTCGTCCTTTCTCTACACTCACAGATTCGTTGATTGTCTTCAACTGTGTTTTAGTTCCCGCCTGTTTCTTCTTTCAGAAAGCACTTAGGATGCTTTCACACCTGCTGTGTTTAGTCCATTTAAATTGAATTCTAGTTATTTTTCCTTGATGGTGCAGTTCATTTGTGCAGATGTGAACACAATAATCGCACTCAGGTGTAAAACAACCCCACTAAGATCCTTTGTAAGAAGGATCTTTGTGGGGAATGGTGAAGAACCAATCATCTATGATGTAAATGTGATCCGACCTCGATCTGAACCAACTAAGAGGTGCACACTGCAGGTCTAAGCTAAAAAACGAACTTCCCTTTGCCTCGTATGCTTTGAATTCTGGAATGTGGAAAGGTACTATAAATGTGCAAAAGTCAGTATGGACTAGCAACTTACCGCACCTCTGAGTTCTTCAGCTTGGGTTTCTCTGTGTTTTCTAAAGAAGTATTCCTACTGTTTCCTGGATGCTTTGCTCTCTGCTAATTCTTACATTATAGAACTTTTTGTGATTTAATCAGCCTCAGATGCTCATCTTATGTTCGGTTTTTGTCACCTAAGTCCTGCATTTGATTTCACAACCCTGAACACACAGTGGTTCATGACAGGAACACAATCCCTGGGCAGAGATGTGTATAATCACCCGCAGAGGGCAATCACAGCCAGAGTGACTGCACCCCAGGTTTTGTTTTTTGTTCTTTTACACATCTTTGCTATAATAGTGCAGCCAAATTTCATTTGCTTATTTATAACTGATTATTCATTAATTTTGATCCCTTTTGCACATGTTTGTTACAATTCTTTCCTCCCTGGTGTTTTTATGCTCCGTTATTTAGCCGCTGTCTCTTTCACATCTCATTTTGTTTCTAATGTTGGTGCTACATATGCACTAAAACAGGGGCATGCTGACTTTTTGGGCCATGGCTGTGTGTTCCAGTAGTGCTACTAATGCACTGAGGAAAAGGTCAAGAGGCTCTGGGGGGCTAACAGCTAACCTCTGTATTCCAACATGCTCACAATTAATATGGTAGCATGTTACAGTTTAGAAGATGTAGTTCTGATCAAGTTTACTTTGCTGTGTTAGCGTGCTGTTTGTTTTGGTCATAAACCAAGGGGACTGTTTTAACTGAAACAAAAAGATGAAGGAAAAAAAACACTCTCCATCCTGAGTTACAGTAAACAATAAAACCGCTGCTGGCAATTATTCATATTTTAATATCAGTTATGATTTTGGCCTCCAACAGTCAACTAAAGAAAATAAAGAAAATATTTGCGTGTTAGCAGTCCTATGACATGCTACAAAAAAGCTGAGTCTGCGTCCTGCATTGATCATATTACTGCACTGAAAGGTAAGGATTTCATAGTCCTGCTTTTAGCTTACTCCTCGTTTGCTTCTACCTTTATCAGTTTGCTGGAAGCTTCCATGATGTCAGTGAGGACTTTGGTTTTGTGGGTCATTTACTGTAAGAAAAAGGCTTCAGTGGAAAACTCAATCAGATGGATGATACTCATATGAGATACAGAGAGACAGAGAGCCAGTTCTTAACTGGACTTTCCTTTGTTTCTGATTTTTTTTTTTTTTTAAAGAAAAATTTGAGATAAAGTATTTTCTCTTTCCATCGTGCCTCCTTTTTTTTTATCCCTTCACTTTCTTCTATCCATTCATCAAGCTCAGGAATTGTTTTTGTTATGTTTCCTGAAATACTGTAGCTGCTCTGCCTCGGCGACATGTTCTTTGGCTGACCAGCGAAAAATTTTCCCATTTTGTACAACATGTAAAATAGTTTGGTTGGGTTTGGTTTAATTTTGGCCTGGCTAGGCATTAGTACTCTCAGTGGTACTATGCTAAATTGATTAAATAATGTGTGAATAAGTGTTCATGTTTTGTCATTTCTTCAACTGAGAAAAAAAGATGCCGGCAGCTTTTGCATTTCGCCATAGAAACAGTCCATAAACCCAAACACACAACTCATAAGCAAAAGATAAAACTATGAAAAAGGTTTTACACACATACACTCACTGAACACAGTGAAGCTGTTCACATCGCATGCATACTGTACAGTCACAGTCCACTCCATTCCTTTGGCAAACAACCATACATAGTTCTGTGTGTGTGTGTGTGTGTGTGTGTGTGTGTGTGTGTGTGTGTGTATCATGTGGAACATCAGATGTCTAAATGTGTTTACAAAGTCCACAGTTTGTGCCATCGCACTGCAGATGCAATTTTATCACACTTTTATACACTGACGCTGCTGGTGGAGATGTAAAGACACACTCCGCCATGTTTAGGCCACATTTTTCCATCAAAGACGTCAAAGCTGAGCAGTAAATAGACACCAAAGGCCCGCAGGTTTGCTGGAGGAACTGTGGAAACCACAGTGCAAACCACTCGCATGTTTACTGGGATTGTCTGGTTCTTAAAGGCTGCTGGAGACAGATGTGGAGGGCACTGCAAGGCATTTTTGATTGTATAATTCCCCCACAAAGTAAGTTTATATATTTTAGGTCTATACCTCCAGAAAGGATGAATAGAGGAGTAAGTTCTTAGAAAGACTCTGATTAAGAAGAGCTTATGATGAATACAGGGATGTAAATCACAATAAACATTTACAAAATGTTGCTATATCTGCTCCATCAGCCTAACACTGAGTTACCCATTGAGCCCTCGTAGTTCTCCGACTCTGTGCTGAGGAAGCTGTTGACCTTCTTCACAGCTGCCATCTGAACCTCGAGGTCTGCCAGGTTCCTCACAACCCAGTTCAGGTAGTTGGTGACCTGCACAGAGGCATTTTTGTAGCATGGAGATCATATTTATACATCAGCATCACTTTGAATGGCACCATGTGTTGCCAAACTGAATAATTGGTCTGTTGCTTCTGTTGTTGCTGTTGTTAATGGTTTATATTAAAATCTAGCCTGACAGGCTCATTTGGTGTTTGTTTTTTTTGTTTGAGCCACAAAATGTGTTAATGAACCCTGTTGGTGAAGCCCTGCCTAAAGCTGTGTTCAGAAGTCACAAATCAAACTATCATAAATTCCTTCCATTCTGAATCAAATAGCTTCAGTCGCACACAAACAGTAAAAGTAAGCTTTCAGGCTGTCAGCAAATCCACATTGCATGAGAAAATATCAGATGATTAATAATTTTTCTATTGTAAGGGAGTGTATTTGGCTGTATTTATGTTGTCAGGTGAAAATTTGCATTGGTTCTCATCTTTACACAGACTTATTACACAGCAGAAATGATCCATTAAATAGTAAGTAATATAATTTAAACTCAGTTTGTTTGTTCTCCCGCGTAACCCTGGTCAATTTAGGTTTGAAACACTTGCTTTTAAAGCACAGTAATTTAAATTAGTGTCTAACTACGAATGGAGGGCAACTCACTGACTGAATAAAGAGTAAAAAAAAAAAAGACAATAACAATAAAATGAATACATAAAAGAGAAAACGCACAGTGAGGGCGTAGGTAAGGCCCAGGCCCACCAGACCTCCAGGATGAAGCCCGTAATGGAAACTCCATATTGAGGCTGCCGCCGCTGCCAGTACAATCACTGCTCCAAGGTAGTCCTGCAGAGACATCAGGAAACAAAATATCACTAATACAACATATTCATAACAAATCCCAACCCGCAGCAAAAGCTTCAGATCTTCTCTCTCTCATATTTATATAACCAAACACTTTCTCCTGAGTCCGATGAAAAGAGTTTCTCACCGTTCGGACCTCGAGCCAGCGGTTGGCAGCAGACAGAAACAGGTACGCTGTGTTGTTGGTGTCGGTCAGCTCCAGCATGCGCTGTTTAAACCGAGCCTCGTGTCTGCAGCAAACATGTAATTGAACAGAAGACACATCAGTTGTTTAACGGCTTCACCAATGAACTGAACTGCTGGTGCCCTCCTGCCTTTGGCTTTTGATCACTTGCTGACATCATCTTCCCCTAAATCCTCAATAATGAACACAAACAATAAACTCACACAGGGAGTACAAATAACAAACAAAACGCAAACAGGAAGCAAGAGAAGTACACTGTTTTTCAATTAAAGAAGGGGAGCAGCTCGACTGTACTTCAGCCTGCTGAATCTCAAAGTTTTATCTTTGTTTGTATTCAGTAGTAAATCACTGCCATCTAAACCAGACGTGGTTTGGAAGGAGACCAGTGGTTACGATAATGGGAACTATCCCACGATTGCCAAGAATCTGTCTCAACACCAGATTCACTGTTTTTGTGTGTGTGTGAGCCCTTCAGTGTTTGTATTTTTGTGTGTGTTAGGAAGAGGAAGTCCTCAGGGGAAACGAGGAGAAAAAAGCGTGAGAGCTGCTTAATGTTGGATTATCCGGACGATGGGAACGAGGCTGAATACAGAAATACAAGAAGATACTTCTCTCGCTACCGCCACAGGAACGGCAGCAAAGCACAACACAAAATGTTTGAAAGTAAAACCTAAACTGTGACAGCTTACGAGAGAGCTGCAAAGACGGCAATCCTATCAATCTAAAGGGCTCTGAACAGCTCTACTATGGAAGGTGACAGGATAAAAAGTGCTAAGGGACACTTGAACTCATTCCATAATAAAGACAACCTTCCCTGTACCCTTAATGAAGTGTTTTGACACCTCAATAAAGACGTGTTTGATGACCATTAGAACGGTCTCCAGATTTTCCAAGCCTTGCTGCACAGGCAAAGATCATCTTCAATAACTTCACAAACTCAGTCATTTTGCTCTATCAGTCAGCACGAAATACGAAACCACTCAGTTCAGAAAAGAGCTTCAAGAGTTATTCTTTTTCTATAGAGATCTCTTCTGTAGTCACACTGTGTGGACTCAACTTCAAAGTTTGGAATTAGGCATGCAAAGGTGATGCCTGTGAAGTACTGAATGCAAAAGCCAGTCAAAGCCGGTCTGCAGCAGATAAAGCCCTGGCCACGCGTGCCAGATAGCTAGCTGGATAAGGAGCTGAGCTGCACCAATGCAGGGATACTTTGTTGCACTCTGACTGAGGCTTTATACTTCCAGGATAAATCTATGGTATGTAGCCTACACCATAACATGATGTATTTTTGCCTAGAAATGGAACTGCACGTCACACTGACGCAACCCACAGGTGTTGTGATTGGTTTATTCAATACTATAGTTTCCTCTGAAGCAATAATACTGATTTAACTTTTCCTCAAAAGTAAAAAATCGTTCTTTCTACGAGTTGTTTTTGAGCAAAGCTAGCTGACCAGTGTCTTCATGTGCTCTCATAATGTCACTAACAGCACATTTCCTCTCTCATTGCAGAAAGATTTTATGTCTTTGCTTTGCCTCTTTCATTTTTATATCTTTTAGATCAGTCATGTGCAATGATGGATACACCAGTAAAGTTGTCTTTTATGTGTTATTGTTCCCTTTATTTAGGTTAAAATTGGCTGGAAGTCTGGAAGGTGTGCAGTGATGAGAAACTATCAGTACCTACCCTTAAATGTGTTAAATCTAGAGTAATGCGTCTGTATTGAGAATGTGAGGAGTGGAAAGTAGAGATATTTGTGTTAAAATTTAGCAATAGGAATCAAAAAGATGTCAGAAAAATAAGGAGTCATGTAAAGTACAGATGCCTGAAAACTATAGGTACGTACAAAGTACTTGTACTTTGCCATTTTCATATCAGTGTCTATTGGGCCCAAACATTGGTATAAAATGTCTCCATCTTTATATTTGTAATAATACAGCACAAACTTAGGATTCATAGCAAATTATGCAGTGAGCTTTTTTGGACCTCTGCGGGTCCCAGACCTCATTTGAGAACCGCAGACTTACAGTGCCAGTCTAGCTTCTCAGTCATCCAGGTCAAGGTCATTTAATGGGCTTGATATGAAAGTAAGTGGACTTCTTTTAGGCTCTTGATGATGTTCTACCTCTTATCTAAATGTGGCATCAGAAGTGGAAAAACCTGAGATTTGAAACATCTTCAGGAACTTAAAAGAAGTTCACTTGTTTTCAACTCAAGTTACCACAGGCAGAAGAAAAAAAGACACAAAACATTAAAATAAACATGAAAAAATGTTCATGCCTGTAAAACATGACTGAAGTACATCTTTTACAAAAGCTATGCCAATACACGCTATCTTCTATATTCCTCTTGATTTCCAGTTTGAACTTTAGTAGTTTGAACTGAAGAATATAAAAAATTCACCACTGTTTAGATTTCTTCTGTTTACGAATGATCTTCTGCAGAGCTCAATGGAAACTCTCTTCTTAATAGCAGCCGTAAAATCGTCTTTCACATTTTTTGACCAATTTTTAGAAAAAAAACAAGGGTTGCAAATTTCAGTGCATGAAAGACAAACATGTACCTGAAAGCTCGTATGGTGGTGAGACCTTCTGCAGTCTCAGAGAAGTGGCAGAGCAGAGGAAGCTGTGTTGAGTCATCGAGGTCTTGGAGGTCCCTGAGAGGAGGTGTTTTTACATATGCATATCACTTCATATGAAATCTCCCATGCACAAGTGTACACATGCATATTACACACTGAATCCTATTTGCATGATGTCCTCTGGTGTACTCATTCAGAATTCATGTTCCCATAAATCATCAAGTTGATGTTTCCTGTTTCCTGCAGTGAGGAGATTCAGCTCACTGCATCTAAATAAACTCCCTGATTTGTTTAGATAGAAAAATTATGCACTGCAGCTACAACAAATACACTGTGGACATACTTGGAGGCGACTCTGAAATACTTCTGAATGAAGTAGAAGGCCACAGCCAGGGGAACCAAGGCAACCAGGAATATAGGAGTGATTGAGGCTATGACCCCGATGCCTGACAAACAGAGCAGCGTGGATCTCGTCAAAGATTCCAGCGTTGAAGGAATATGCTACAATGAAAGGAAATGAGGAAGTGGGAGTTCAGTCATGTTTGCTTCCTTCTTTTAGTTTAGCAAAACACAAACAAATCACAACTTCACTTTGACGGCTAACCAGGAATAATAATTAAAACATCTGATCAGTGCAGCAGTTGTGTATGCGCTTCCACATGGGCCTCGAGTCCATTATCTCTTATGCATATTCATCAGTTTACCTGGTCGATGATGTTGGTATCAGCTGAGAATCTGTTGAGGATCTGCCCCAAAGGAGTGATGTCAAAGAACCTGTGGAGAGAGGTGTTTAAAGAAGGGTTATGTAATCCTGAAGAAAAGAGATGGAGGCTGCAGAAAGAGCAACAGAAAACTTTCCATCAATTACGAAGACCGATGATGAGCGAAGAACAGCGGGACAAGTGCAGCCACACACATTACTCAACTGTTTCCTTAGAGATGCAGCTCAAGTGTGAGGATGGTTCGCCAAAGTCCCCAGTCACACTCAAAAACACACTGTTCAGCGGATCCATCCATCCATTTTACATAATTTCCCCGAGGGATCAATAAAGTATTCTGATTCTGATGATTTTCTACCACTTACAAAAGTGATGTGAGGAAATACAATCAACGCTCCCCTGACTCTCTTCCATTCATCACCACATATTACTCTTCCAACAGCACACTGAGGCGTTTTCCAACCCAGCCCAGAGATAATTCATCCATGTCCTTGCTCCTCCAAGTCTAACATACCCAAAACGCCTGCACAGAAGTTCAAACTACCTTTTGATGCACAGTAGTCTAAATGACTGCACCCTTCACCCCGTCGTTAGGGGTGACCCATGACACCATTCAGAAAAAGCTCAGTTCTGCGTCTTCTAGTGCCAGTCTTAATATTATTATTATTTGGGGCACTTCCTACAGCCATAGGTGAGCCCTATGGCACAATGACATAGGTGCTGGATCAAAACCGCCAGCAGATTTATTAAAAAGGTTAATCCACATATCAAGAAGCTCCCATGTAAAGGCTTCACTCTTTAGGATATTTGTTAGTCTTCAAACTCAGACCGCTAATTAACCAGCAAATGCACAGCTTCACCTCCAGGGTCCATTCTCGCTTCAGCGCAAAAAAACAGCACAGGTTATAAGTAAAATAAAAAATACAACTTTTACACACACCTTTACTACCAAGTAAACACATATAGATTAAAAGACTAAGAATTCAGCATTTAAAAGACAAAAACAACTTCCAACAGGTTATAAAAGCAGACGTAGGTTTGCTTAAAAGATTAAATGTGAGCTTCGAGCTTTTTTACAGATGTTTACTCTGGTCTTGTTGCTGTTCTGTTTTATGTACCTGATGGGAGCGTGGATGATCTTGTTGAGGAGGTTGTGGTGCAGGTTGGTGGCTGCAGAAAGACCAAGAAATTCCACAGTGAGGGAGGTGATGAGGCATAAAGTGATGCCAGCTGCGCACAAGATGATGAACACTAGCAGATAGTAGGAGTCCTGCCCTCGCTGACACACAACAAGACAGAAATCACACCATGGAGAAACAAGAGCAACATGTCAGAAACTAATATTAAATGTTTTTAAAATACAAATAGAGCCACTGTGATGTCACCAACTGGTTTCTGATCTCTGCATTTTTAATCATTCAGTTAAAATGTACATTTAATTTGTATATATTTTCCCTTATTATGCTCTCTGCAACATTCAGAGAGTCAACAGGAGATTTAGTTCATAAGTGATTTTAATACATTATCCCAATAAAACTCATTAAAATCCTAATAAACCCGATTACAATCCCAGTAAAACCCATTAAAACCCATGACAGACATATTGTACCTGCACTGTGGTGTTGATGGGTGTGGTTCCATTAATATACATGTCTGTTCCTGTTTCTGTACTGGTATTGATTTTTGACGTCCAGTTAGCCAACCAGTAATCGATCGCCACAATGACGGAGTGTTTGAGGAGTTTAGAGAAAATCATGAGGAAGACCATGAAGAACCCCCCAGAAGACAGGTAACACCAGCACACCTGAGAGAGCAGCATGGATCATAGTAAGAAAAGCAGTAGTCACTGTTATTTGGTCGGTCAAACTTGTTATTCCTCTAAAAAAATAGTAGCAGGTAACTAACACCACACCAAACAACTGTCCAGTAAATTAGCTCAGGTTATTTTTCTTTTGTAGCTAACAACACTTTAAATCACGAGAAAATGTCATTGTGCAGATGAGTGGATTACCTTCCACGGGATCTTTGACCTTCTGTTGGTGGTCGTGGAAAAGTTGTCATCGTCTTCCTCCTCGGCTTCTTCTTCTGTTAGAATAAAATCACATTTAGAAGATATCATTTTTATTTTAAGGTGATTATAAATTAACCATTTTAATCATCACAGATGGTATTAAAGATGCCATGGTGCTAAATAGTGTTAGGTTACATTCAATTAAAATACTAGAAGTACTTTTGAGTACTAACATGTTTTGGTTATTTCCTACAGTAAATCTAGAATATTTTGGAGAAACAAGCACTCCACCAAACTTTGACAATGAACCCTAAGATGGCACTATGTCTATGTGTCATCATGTCTTTTCGGGAGGAAACTCTGAAAAGGAATCTGTCACCTTCATCTTCATCATCTATTTGGTTCTTGGCCTCTCTGGAGTAGAAAGCTCTCCTCAGCGTCTTCCTCTCAAGTGTTGTTTGACTGTCCTGCTGAATGTCCTACACACCGGAGGAGTGGATATCATAGGAGAAACATTAGAGTAGACAGAAAGCTTTAATAAACACTTAGCTGCAGATTTATACCTTACCTTCTCCAGCCCTTGATCCTGCCTGTTCATCAGGGTTTTCCAGTGGTCATAAAGTTCAATGTCATGAGTCTGAATGTCCTTCAGAGTTCCCTCCCGCAGGACTGTACCATCCTTCATTGCTATAATCTGGACAAAACACACAATATAATGTTAAGGCTCAATGAAAACTAAATTTATGACATGTATGTTCCTGCAAACAGAAGGCCCTACCCAGTCTGCATGTATAAGATATTGCAGTTTGTGGGTGACGAGAACCACGGTTCGTTTATCATCCTGCAGAAATTTAAGGATTCCTTCTTGCATCAAATGATCACTGAGGTGGATGTCGAGTGCTGAGAATGGATCATCCTGCAAGATTTAAGAGAGAAGCATGGATATCAGTTAATCTGACAGATGAATGACTTTCTCAATCTGAAATGCTTTTATACGTATTCAGTTTAAAAATGTTTAGTCCTGAATACTTATGTAATCAACTGGTTTAAACTAACATTTGTAACACTGACACATATGTCCTCTGCTCTGTCATGTTTCACTCTCATAAGTGAATACCTGGAGGATCACATTTCGTGAGAAGTATTCATGATCATAAAATACTTTCAAATTGAGTTTATTTTCAAATGAAAAGCAAATCTGATGTATATCAGATTTATGACAGACAAAGCCTTAATTAGAGATGTGGTGGATAAAAGTCTCTTGAATATAAACAATAGTCTATATCAGCGGTCCCCAACCTTTTTTGCGCCACAGACCGGTTTATGCCTGACAATATTTTCACGGACCGGCCTTTAAGGTGTTGTGGATAAATGCAACAAAATAAAACTAGTACGGGAACTGAAAAAAAGAAGATTTATTCACATGAAAAGACCCAGGAAAACCGAGTTAACAATCAAAACCATAACAAAATAGCGCTGAAAACCGATAAAAACCCCGAAAACCATACATTTCACACCTGAGCCTCAACTCTCGCGGCCTGGTACCAAACGACTCACGGACCGGTACTGGTCCGAGGCCCGGGGGTTGGGGACCGCTGGTCTATATCTTAATGCTCAGACCCTTACTTGGAAAAGTCTATTTTTGTACTATCTGTACTATGTTACTATTGATTGTTTTTTCATTTTTTAAAAAATTGTCATGAGAAAAGTTTTTTAAAAATCAAACAGAAAGTTTCTAACCTGAAAATGAATCCAACAGGAAGTGCACGAATATGCAGTTCCTCAAATGGCCACTAGAGGCTTGCTCCATACACTATGCTAACTTTAAAGCTAGTTGAGAGGTGTCATATTTTTTGGCAAGTACTGTAAAAGGTCACTGGTTTGCTTCTGGCTGGAGGCACAAATCCCCTTTGGGGTTATATCTGCAAAGGCATTTTTGGGGGGCTACCTGCTTTGGCAACCCCTTGTGAAAAGGGAGCACCTACAAGTAGCTGTGGAGTCACAAAAGACAATTTTGGTTTCTGTGGAGAGTTTCTCTCTTTATGATAGCTGGACAAAAACTCTCCGATTGAAACTCAGTCTTTAAATTTCCATTACGAGGGGAGAGACTACTTTGACTGGCAAGTAGCTTTGGCTGCCGCCTTGTCCACTTGTTAGCTTTTATTAGCATGTATCTATGTTGGCTGGGTGAATCTGTGATGTCAAAAGGTCATCACTTCAGGCTTTTGGAAACCAAAATGTTGACTGTCAGTATGCTCAATTCGAGGCTTCAAAACAGAAGGTCATGGACCAGTGTGTACATTTTTTATGTACAGTCTATTTTCAGTCTATTTATGTACAGCATTTTCTTGCAACACTGGACATGGTTGTATTTTTTATATAAATTCAGTTTGCATGGTTCCTCTTCTGTAAAAGACATTTAATCTCACTTAGACTTCCTGGTTAAATAAAGGTAAATCCGTTAATAAATATTTATACTTTATGAAACAATGGAAAAAACTGTAATGTGAAATTTCCAAGCAGAAATGATTAGTCGCACCATGTAAAAGTTAGTAAATTCTCCCTGTGTCTCTGTACTACCTGTTCTACCTCATTTCTGAGATAATTTTGATTATATCCAGCTCTTCATCACAAGTTAAACTCCTCAGGATAACAGCCAGATGTCCATTAATCTTTGTGCTAACAGGACGGCGGATGCTATAATGTGTGTTTTATACTGTGTTAATGAAGCCTGTGTTATGGCTGTTTTATGTCTTTCGATGTGGGAGTGTATGACGCATATATTCCAGCCCTGATATCAGATATGAACAGCACAAAAGAAAAACATTCCCTCCTCATTATACGTTTCATTTTTTTCTCAACCATCGTAGACATTACAAAGGGTCATGAGTGTATAAAGGAATTCCACTGATGGATTTTAATGAGGAATGTATGCTTGCTAATGGACTAAAAATCGAGGTGGCAGCAGGAAATTACACAACTACTCAGACAGATAAACAAATGACAGCATTCACTGTCATTATCCCAACGGCCACAATGTACTGTGTGTCACATAATACATCACTGCAATGATACATTTAATTATATAAAAAAGGGAAGGTTAGAATACTACAGAACTTAATCTTGTAAAGAAATGGCATTATCTAATTTGGCTACAAATTAGGAGTAAAAGTCTTTATTTTACATTAAAAAAAATTCAAATTGCACATTGTAAAAAGGAAAAAAAGGACAGAACTCAGCAGGGTTTCCAATGTTTTGAACATTAAAAAGACAGTTTAAGGGAAGGAAAATTTTAAGCTTACCAAGAAAACGATGTTGGTGTTTTGGTACAAAGCTCTGGCCACACAGATTCTCTGCCTCTGCCCTCCACTCAGGTTGATGCCCTGACACAGAAACAGATAAATTAAATCCCTTTATGTGATTATGGGTTTTTTTTTAAGGCAAATTAAAAACTTGCATACTCTCTCTCCAATCTCAGTCTGGTCTCCGAATGGCAGCAGGTCAATGTCTGGCTGCAGAGAGCAGGCGTCAATTACTGCTTTGTACCTGAAAAACACCCACGAACAGGTCAGGAAAGCTCTCAATGTGCATCACGTTAGAACACAAAGCACCGCTGAGGTGAGCTGTAACTGTGAGCTGTGGGGTTCTCACCGCTGTTTGTTGAATGGACTACCAAAGGTGATGTTTTCCTCCACAGTAGCGTTGAGCAGCCAGGACTTCTGGGCAGCGTAGGCAACAGAGTTTCTGTTCTTGCTGTGTGCACCACGGGAAATAGAGGCAAAAAGATACCAGGTAAAAAATGCAGGTCATGGATTCATAAAGCTTTAAAGAGCAGGGATACTGATCCACCTTCACAGCAATGTTGCTTACAGTTCAGCATCCTTATGATTGTTAAAGTATTTAGTTATTAATATAATAAGTCATCCACTAAGGAAAAGCTAACCTAAAAAAAGTAAAGCAATCTGGTTTCTTGAACAAATAAAAATACTAGTGTTTAATTCCAACATTACGTTTTAAATATAAATTTTTAAGTTTAGTCTGGAAATTTATTTTTGTTCTCTAAAACCTCTCCATTGAATTCAGCACCATAATACAACATCGCAGCTTTATTTACAGTTATCAGTATGTAGCTTTTTGCTGTATCTAAAGGCAAAAGCTAACATAAGATCAGTAGTCCTGTTCTGATCAGCTTTATGAAAGTGGGACCCAAACATAAAAACAAAAACAAAACGAGGAGGAAGAGAGGGAGGATTATGTTTGTAAATCTGTCAAACTCCACTGCAATGTAAAAACAACTTGTCAGATATGAGGGATAAATATGACGGTCTTGGATGAGGTTAATGATGAGCTGCAAATTATCAACAGTTAATAATGATAAAAAAACAACAACATGACATCATCTACAGCAACACAATCATGAATACAAACATCAACACGTCAAAAGCCACTGCTGGGAGTCTGAGCCGAGACCCGCTCTGGTGTGAAGTCGTTAACGAGGTCAGAGAGCTGTGATGATGACAGTTTTCTAATATTTTGTCTCCAAAAGTTGTTTTTCCGGTAAAAACTGACTGTATAGTAAGTAATATATATAATCGTGTAAGATGCCCGAATTCAGCCATTTCTCAGAACTGTACTGTCTTAAATTGTGCATATTCAGAGGTATAGATGAAATGTAGACCCTGTTGGAAAGCCACCTCAAGATGGCTCCTTGAGGTGGCAGTGTAAGGAGTCTTTGGGTGCTGCTTAGGCTTAATTACTGATTTTCTACATGTCATGAGGTGTTGGTTAAGGGGTGCCTGAGGTTGGCTAAGAGGGAACAATACATCTTTGCTCCCAGCTGCTGATTTCATCTTAAATTTAGTAATTGATGGGATTATGTAAAGCAAATAATCCCAGTATGAGCTGTCGTACATCCAAAACTGGAAACACCATTCAAAGCCTGAAAATGAAAGTCACCAGTGTGCAAACATTTCTAGTTTTTGCATACCATTTTTTAATTATCTAACAATTTGTCCAAAAAAAAATCCCATTTCTCATCTCATTTTTTCATATTTATGGTTGGGGTATCCTTCAGCTGTGGTTTTTCTTTCTCTGGCCTTGTTCCTCTGACACAGGTTGGTTGTTAAAACTTTAAATCAACTAGCAAGGCTATGAGTCTAATACTTTTATTTATTTTTATAATCTAGATTTTACAAAATTCCTAAAATGCTTGAGGGAATGAGAAGGCTCCAGTGGGCTAATTAACAGACAAAAAAGGGGAAAAAAGTTCTAATTAAAATTTTCTTTTGAACCTGTTGGCATGCCTACAATTTTTATTCTAAAACCATCATATTACCCTCAAATCATAAGAAAATTAATCTTCTTTCCAACAAAGTCTTCCTCAAAGCCTCCACATGTATATTTTTTGATCTGAAGCCTTTAGATTGAGAGGTCTGTCATCCAACTGCCAATGTCAACAAACTGCTATTATAAATAAACTTTTTTGGAGAAAGAAAGTAATAAAGTGGCCAGCTTCCGTTTTCTTTTTTGGTGCTATCTTCTAGCAGAAATATTGCAATTGCATCAGAAAGTCAGTTTATAGTCTGTTTATTTGTTTGTTTGTTTTTTTGAAGGGGGGG